CGGCTGCCCTGCACTTAGAACGTACGCACAGCTCGTTATCCCCAAAACAAAAGTCTGGCTTGCCCTACATCGGCGGAGAGGCAATGCTCCGACGTGACAGCACGCGGACGGGGCCCACGACGGTCGCTCCAGAGGCCGTGCACCGAGAGATTCTCCAGGCTGCCGTTTGCCTCTCACAAAGTCGAAGGGGCGCAAACCGACGGGGACGTTCAGCTACGATCGAGCGAAAATGCCCCGGCGCGGACACGTCAAGTGCTGCTCAAAAGCAATTCTGAGGTCCGCAGCACGATGATGTATGGTTAAGGAGAAGTGTTAGAGATTGTTCTAGGAGGGTTGCATGAAAACACATTTTTTTAAAGATAGAATGAGCTAGCTTATCGAATGGAAATTGGTTTGTATTTCTCTTCGAATTCTTGTGAGAATGATGTGACCCTCCCTCCACTAATGCAGTTAAAAAAGTACATGGTGAGACTGGCATGCAGGTGGGAGAGCATGGTTGATGACACAGAAAAATTACACCATTATCCCTCCAGTGATTGGGAATTAGATGTGGTGCATGCATGGTGATAGTTTGTTAACTCAACAATACAAACAATATTCGTGGGAGGAACTAAACTTACAAAAAAAACTCGCTGAGCAGCAAACGCTTCCTGTACGGGTGGCAGATATGAAAACGTCGCGAGTCTTCGCCATTTCCTCTCAACACGCTCCTGAGCGTCCGCCAACAGCTTGCCCCGATCACAGCCACAAAGGGAATTGCTTCTCACCTTGTCCTGCTGCACAAAATGTGATCTGTATCGCCCAAGTTGTAGACGTTTGTGGGAGAAAGCCGATAAGTGGAGTCGTCCAGCACAGGTTTGCTGGATAAATGCGAGCACTGAACACTGCAGGTCAAGTGCCGCTTTACAGAGCAGTTTACTCCACAAGAGCTGTACAAAACACTGCTTCAACAGCTTCCATTTGACAATTATCAGGACACTATAGCTTACTCTGCGGCTGTGTATGTACAAATATGCCAACTAAAAGTATGGTTAAACCTTAATGTGAACCTATGGCAAGCTGACAAGAGAGCGCGGCAAGTGCAAAACATATTCCCGAAGATTAATTTATGTAATTATCAAAAGAGACCAGACTGCAATGTGCGTGCCCGCGCGCCTTTAACCAACATTTAATTGGTTTCGATGGGAGAGCAAAAAAACGCGAGAAAAGCGTCAAGGTGCACTCCGTATTCTTGATGTTGTGGAACCCAGAAATATTGCACATGCATGGGAGGTGAATGGGGGGAGAGATGAATGGGCCGACGGAATAAATGACAACAAAAATAAATTAACCTGGTGCGGTGGGGAAAGCGGCCAATAAATTAGGTGCATCCTGTTTCGGGAGATGCGCAAGACAGCCAATTGCCAGCTGACTTGTGAAGATTACAACAATTAGTCCCCCATCTCTAGTGACTCAAGGCACCCGCGTGGCTCAGCCACGCTCCTGAGCGAGGCTTAAAGTAAAAGCTTGCAAACCCGAGGCAATTAATCAATCGGGGGAAACATGCTGGGTGCTGCGAATGAGCTGGCGCCGCAGAAGCCGAAATCCTATTCTGAATAAATTATTAACAACAGCATTTTACCTGCTGTCATACTTGGCGGATTATCCGGCAGTGTAGAAAGCTAAATATGACATTAATTAATCTTAGTGAAAAAAATAATGCGTAATAATTGGATCATGATCGAGACTTGTCAGCACAGCACATCACAAGGAAAATTCCTAACTATGATATTGGAACCATTCATTAAAACAAAACGTGTTTACTTTGTGTATTAAAATTATGCTGCTGCAGCAATGGAATAGCATCATGCAGAATGATCTTACAAAAACACTTAAAACAGGTGAATTATTTTTAAATGTAAAAAAATTATGGCGATAAGTCTTACACATTTGTCGAGTTTCCCAACTTGTAAATTTCTATGAAGTGCTTGGCCGAGACACACAAGCGGAACAAACGGAGAGACTTGGACGTGTTTTTTTTTGTATACATAATTGGTTTTTGTATTCAACAAGTCCGAGCAGCTACAATAATACAAAAAAAATTATCCTAAATTATCCTAACCTTCATACTGCACAATAGCCCACTGCGTAATTAACATCAACAGAAGCTGCCGGCGCACACTTTTCAAGGGACGTGTAATTGTCGTTTCGCGGCACCACGGCACACTGTGGCGCTTCTCACAACGAGAGCAGCAGGGCAACGGCGATTCTCACCGGCTTTACCACGTCGCGGCTTGGCCTGAAATATTAACTTATTATCGCCAAGTAGACCGTTGCAACGATTACAACACGATGATAAAAGGTTACACAGACACAGTACACATATACGGCAATGGTATGCGCGTGCAATATATGTTCATATGCTCATAGATCCATATATATTTTTAATAATTAGTATTTGAGCTTATATTTATGCCTTTCATGAAACATTATGGCTCTTTACATCGATGACAAGGGGGATGGGGCGGGTTGTGTAAGAAGTGGCGAAGTGAATCCAGGTGCCACCGAAAAAAATACTAGTCGCAGGGTTAAATGTTTGGAAATATGTACCAATAACAATCTGCGGTCCTTTGTAAATCCACCGCTGGATGAAGGACTCGCCACACCGTGTCGGTAATGGGGCTTGTTTGATCATACTTCACCACGCTGGTCAGTGCCGGATGGTGAAGGGGCGCAACGGTTCCAGGACCGGTTCAGATAGCACTCGCCACTGATGTCAGCTGTGACCGGGAACCAAACTCAGGTAAGCGGGGTTGGTAGCAGGGATGCGATTCTCCACATCACCGATCCCTTGCTCCTCTCTGTATGAAATACTTTCGGGTAAAACTGTTTCCACGTACTATGTAAGGCTTGGCAGAACACAATCGAGGGTATATGCTATCCGTGCCCATTCTATTAGCTCTATTACCCACGGATGTCCTGGGATAATACAGCCTTCAATCACTTTAATCTGCTCAACCACCAATCAAGTCAAACACGCGCCACAAAAAGATGACTGGATTTCGCTCAGACCCTAATTACAGTTATGTTTGATCAACTGTAAAATGAATTATTTAGCATTTTAAAGAATCCAATCATCGCGGGCAACAAATCCCAGCGAGTTGTCCACCAGCATGAGGCATTAACTTGTCGGGTTATGAAGTGTGAAGATTGCGATGCACCATTTGGCGACGTGTCTGATTTAAGAGCTCCCGAACGGGGGAAGCAGCAGCAGCAGCTTAAGCACAGCTCCGCGAGCCGCCACCCCCCCACCTCCCCTCCCCACCAAACCCTCCTCCTCACAGCCTCGCGACGCACTGAGCAACTCGCCCACCCGAGTCAGCACACAAACATTTTCATTTTCGGAAGGAAGATATATATACAATGGGTTTTTTTCATCAATAACTTTTTTTCAGCTGGCACAGTATGTTGTTGTTGCAAAATTAGAATTTAATAAACAAAGCGTCTTAGCGGAGGATATTTGGCTGATGTTTTTTTTTATAATTTAAGAGACCATATTTGCAGTGAAAATTAGTCAATCGCTGCATCTATTCCAATGGATGTCCTTGTCCACTTTAGGCAAGGATGTAAACAGATGGGATTGCTTGAACAGTTGCAAGTTTCATTAAATAGGGTAACGTTTGTTTTAAGCGTCTGTCAATTTGACACTTATTTTCAACCATCCTGCTACCAATTTTAATGATCGATGTATATAATTACCCATCTCCAAAATCTACCACAGCATTTCATTTCATTGTTTGTAACACTCAACGTGGAAACAGTTATTGGAGACGTGATGTTAAAATCTATCTCGAGTAAGATTAACTTTTAAAAGCCGTCATTTGGAATAAATGAACAGCGGTCATTGCAATTTTCTCATGCGTATATTTTTTTACATTTCGAAACAGCAAAAGCACAAAGACCCTTTAAAAGGAATGCCCTTCTGTAATTAACGCAATGCTATGAATTTGGCTGAGCGCTAATAGCCAGTAATAAAAGATTGGGATTATCTTGGGCAGTCGCGATTCCGAACGCCTACAACACCGGTAACCGCATGGCCGTGCGCCTGTCGGTGCACGCCAGTGCAAAACGTGAATATAAACGAGCATCTCCTGCTTCCCGTCACGAGCGGTGGGGGCCATCACCTCCGCCGCTTTAATTACGTCGCAAGCGGAAACCGCGGGGCCTCCCCCCGCTGCAGAGCTCGCGTCACATGGGTGCTCGCGGGCGCCCGCGTTCGCTTCGCGCCGGCTTGATGTGCGCAACATCTCTCCGCTGTAAGCGGCAGAGAGGCCGCTGGCTCGTCCGGCACGGGCGATATTACGCGCGGCACGCTTCGCCCGGCGCCCTGTGCCACGCATGACGTAGCCACGCGCGACACGGCCGCGGTGCTATAATTGCATCCCGTCGCTACACAACCGAGCGCAGAGATCGCGGGAGTCAGCACTACAGCCGTGGTACAAATGCCACTGCGAGGCCTCCCTTAATAATTCAACCCGGCTCCCTTTCATGCGACCGCGCAACAATGTCATTTTCAGGTGTCCTATTAAACACTTTCTGCATAAAGGCGATGCATTTCTCACCCGCGGTACATTTACGAAGGCGTTTGTTGGACTGCATGTGAACAAAGTGACAATGATAATACACCTTTGAACCCTGAGTCACGAGCTTTCCAATTAAAATGCAATCACCTGGAATCTCTGTCGTCTGTTATGTCGACAACAATACCGGCGAAGCATCATTTCACACCAACACCGCCCAAAGCAAAACCAGTTGCACCATTATAATGTATTTAGCATTCTTCGCAAGTAAAACATATGTTATGCGCAATCGCAATTAAATTCGGTTTTCTTATGCACTCTGTTATTTACTTAAATTAATATACTGCAGCAAGATTTTTCCTCCACTCTCGACAAGCATTTAGCATTTTTTTTTTAAATGCTGGTAATTCATCCAAAAGTCATAATAAATGAGACACTCACCAAGGATGAGCTGCCATTTTTGCAGAGGGGTCCACGAAAAACCCCTTTGATGTTCCGAACATGTCCATTGCTGAGATGCGGAGAGCTGATCACAAGGTAGTAGCAAGCCATACAGGAAGTGGACGTCTTCCGAACGAAGACACGGCTCAGATTTGTACAAAGCACCAGGAGTAAAGAGGGTTGCCGTGCCGACAGTATTTAACGACTCGCGGGACCAAAGAGCGGCAGGGAAAATGAATCGCGCATCACACCCAAGTGAGTATTTAATCCTCTAGGAATTCAACGTCGCCACTCTTACACTGGCCAAGCCTAACTGCGGCGCACGCATTCTTCTAAGCTACGTCTGGGCTAATCAGTCTCTCTCCTTCCCTCCCTCTTCTGCTCGTCCCTTCCTTCTTTCACACAGACCGTAGCTCGGCTGCAGCCGTCTTGCGTGGAGGTGTTAAATGTGGTAACCCTTCGGTGACGAGGCTGCTAGAGAGCCAATGAAGCGGCTGCGCTGGAGAAAGCTGCCGCTTGCCGCCAGCAGCGCGTGGCCGTTTGAGCCTCGGCACGCGTCCGGCGCTCGGCGCTCGGCGCTCGCGGTTAAACTGCAGCACGGCTCCCACAGCAACGGCTGTGCTGCGCAGGAATCCGCGTGCCGAGTGCTCGCAGCCCGGCGCAAGTTTGACGTAATGCTGCTAGGGAAAGTCATATGTCTCATCGCCCGACAACAGACTCTCTCTCTCTATGAGCGAAACGGATCCTCGGTTCGCCAGGCTTTCTTTTTGCGGCACTCTTGTCCCGAGGCTATTCAAAGGACCGAATCGGTAAAGCGCGCGTTGCCATTAAAAAGGTATTTGTTGCTGCTTAAAGCTTTCAAATGACAAAAGCGTCCCGGGCGTGCGCGTCCATGGAGAATTTTGACTGCGCGTCGCTCATCAAAAAATCCAACGAAGGTGGAATTGATTTGGCTTGGTCGCAAGACAGCCAGCCACAAGGCAGTTGGAAGGGTGAAGACCGCACACCAGAGCCAAGGCGACCTAAGCTTCTGGGCACATCTGCGCAGAGAGCTCCTTCCACCCATACAGCCAGACGCTCGCCCAAGACAGAAACATAACCTACGGAAACGAGGCTGCCGTGACGCCCGTCAGCATTTCAATTAGACGCGATTCATCGCAGACCCCGGCGGAGACAGCGGCCGGGGAAGAGGACGGTGGCGGCGGCGTTAACAGAGTGGGGCGATCGGGCACCTGCGGGTCGGCCACCCGCTAATACCGGCGGAGTAAATTCTCATTACGGAGAGCAAACGTAAAAGCCGGGGGAAACGTGGCCGAGCGCGCCGGAGCCACGTGCAGGCACGCAGGCACACGTCAAGTGGGGACTAATGAAAAGGTGGGTGGGCGTTGGAGAGGGCCGCGTAGAGGAGTGAGCGGTGGAGGATGGAGGAAGGGGAGGGAGCCTCTGGGCCGATGTGCTCTCCAATCGCACGGTCAGTCTCCAATAATGAGTCGCCTCCCAGCTCTCGGGAGGGATCGCCACGTTTACTTTTCTCTCGTTATCGTGGCTCTCAGCCCCATCAGTCGCACAATGCTTTTAGTCGATTGCTGCTTATTACCCATCAATTTAAGGGAATACAATTGTAAACACAAAAGGACAGTTCTGAGGCAGTGTGCATTTACGGGGGCGCCCGATACGCTCGGTTCAAAAGCCGACCGGTAAACATAATAGGCAAATCAGTTTAAATGCCGTTTCAATAATTATCCTATGGAAACTACCAGTCAGATAAGAAAAAATATCGTATTAATTCTTCACATGCCTTGATGCAGAAGTCAATGCAATATTTAACATGCCCTTCCCCCGCGTCACCAAAATCCAGAAGTTAACATTCACTGCGAGCAGCTCAGACCATGCCCAATAAAGCGCTCATTTCATTCACGGTTCATTTGCTGGCTTTGTTCTTTAACTGGAATGCAATTACAAAAACCTTATTATCCTGTCAATCAGTCAAAGTCTGCAAAGACGAGACGCGGCTCTTAAAACGCGCACCATCTCACAAAGGCAAAGAATTATCTCCTTCACGACGACAGCCGTTGGCGACGGTCACGCTGCCGGTTCGACACCCCTAATCGTCAACCTGTGCCCAATGAGAGGTTGCTCCCCTTCTTCCTCTGCTGTCCTCACTGTCTGCAACTGCGCCCCCGCCACACCCCACCACCCTCTGATTGCATTGTTGACTCTCTCGCCTTATTTAAGTCCAGGGTCAAATCCTTCTGTTTTCCTCCACTCACGGCTGCCTCTCCCGACCTGGTGCGTTCATTCTTGCCTCTATTGCATCGCCGTGTCATTTCATGTCTACCTCTTAACCTTGTATCCAGCACGACACCCTCCACACTCCACAATCCAACAAAATTACCTCTTTCAATAAATCCGACACGTGCATCTCTGCCCCCGCCTCCCACCCTGAAGTACAAGGGCTTGAGAAATGTTTGCATTTAGATGCTTTATAAATCCAAATTGCATTGTTGTGCAATGTCTCACTCCGATTCCTTATACATGCACGGCACGCAAAAATTACATGATATATGTATCTGTCGAGCAAACCTTGCAATCTTGACATTGTAATCAAAAGAGAATTACCGCGTACCAGTTGAAAAGGAGACCCATTAATAGAGAAAATCTACAACAAACCTCGCCCAGAGTTGTTTATCAGTGCTCTGTTTTTGATTAACAAAAAATATCGCTCTTGTCCAAGCAATGCACACCCTTTCACAAGTCCATTCCCACATTGGGGATAATTTTCAAAGAGAAGCAAAAAAAACAAATTGAGTTTCTCGATGTGAATAATATCTGCAATCCAGTCACCACAAAGCCTGCCCCTCCCCATGCTCCAGCAACCGCCAACAATTCCACAGCAATTCAGCGGCAGTCAATGGAAATAAAAAAAACAATTACCATGGCAAATTAGCGTTAGTCAGGGGGGTAAAACAATCAGCAAGGTAATTTAACGATAGTTGGGAGGTAAAGCTATTACCATGGTAATTTGGGCAGTGGCTTCGGCTGGACCCAGGGCCGTGGCAATTTAGCGGCGGCACTCGAGGATAAAGAGAGGCCGCTGGCTGGCGTGGGGTCCTTGAGCTGCCCAGCGGCCGGCACAAGGACAAAGCTGGGGAGAGAGCGAGCGCACACCCCACCCCGGTGCAACACACGGCGCCGGCGCCGCCACATCGCACGCCGAGAAGAGTGCCAATAAACTCTTCCTGGGAAGCGAGAGCCTCCCGGCAATCTGATACATTAAGTGACAGCATTGCTTTGCCACCGAGATCCGAGCATAAAAGTTTCTGAATCGATAAATCAACGGTGACAAATACGGTGACAAGCTTTGGCAGGCTGTCCATCTACCTGCGAGGGTTCTTTTATGACGGCTTCTCATTAAAGCAGAGGGGGTGGCCACAAATGCCCAACAAATTTGTTTTGTTAGGTGCTGCGTCAACATTTCTTCCGAGTGACCAGCAGAATGAAAACTGCAGAGTTGGTCAACAACACAGTCAAGATCCCTTTATGGCGGAAGGAAATCTAATTTGACTACCCGTAATGCCCTTTGCTGAAACAACATTTTAAGAAGGGCACCGTAGGGTCAGCACATGAGTTATTCCATCAGCGATTGAGTGTCCTTTATTTAACCGAGTGAAAGCCCAACGCGCAAATCGAACCTTGGACCCCTCTCAAGCTGGTTTAGCGGACAGCGCTCTGACCGCTAGTCTGCGGGTCATCTATGCACAGACACACACGGATGTTTCACAAAATCACCATCAATGCCAGCTCCTCCAGAGGACGACAGGTCAAATAATGACCAATGTCCTAAATCTATGTTAGGCTATTAAGTTGAATCAATGTTACTCATTTCTTGGTATTCATTTTACGCGCCAGATGTAACCTGAATCTATGACACACGACTTTGCAGACACCCGGCTTGTGACTCAAACGAGATGATGAAATTTTGCTGCGCGTTCCAGTAATTGAATTGATATGAGGGATGCATAAACTAAGCGAACCGCTTATTAACAGAAATTGCTTTATTGGTTTTTTAAACATCTGTAGTTTCGTATTGAAACTATTAACAACCATGACATATTGAACGCAGACAAATTAACAAATAAACATTCAATATGAAGATTAAATACGTGGTCTTGGACAAGCTGCATAAACTTATACGCGAGTGTTGTTAAACGATAACTGAAACCCGGACACCGCTGTCAGATTCGATGACCGGTTCTGGAAATCAGGGACGGACCGGATGTTCACTTTCAATGGAACGCACCGATTGGCGTGCGCGCGAACGAACGAACAAACAGCATGTTGGTGGCCTCAGGTCACCGCGTGGTTCATTCGCCATCGTTCCTGAGTTCAAAAGAAGGGACGCGCACGCGCGCACACAGCACCAATATAAACCAACACCACGCAACAATCACCATTTTCAAATATTGCTCTGCTTCACCATTCCATGTGGGTAACGTCTAATTTTCAAATTAAGCTATTGAACTGTAGAGTTTAGTATTCCCACCAGAGCCGTTTATTACCGGAGGGTTGTATAATTGCATCGATTGCGACCGAGAATGCAGTTCCCAACGCCGCATCGACTAAAAACAAAACGAATTCGTTACCGTCCAATAGTACTCGTTAGTAACGGAATTAGGCACCACAAACAAACATTCAAGCAACGACTGAAAGTAAACAAGCTCTCACGAGGCCACACAAATGCACGCAACCCCTGAAGATCATCGCTGAGAGATACTTAAATACATCGACCTACACAAAGCACTGCGAAGAGGCGGTGGTGCCTTCGGTAGGCCATCACTCAGCAGTGGACCGAACACGGCTAACGATAATTTGAAACATATCATTTACAGAAACTATAACTCTAAATTAGATACAATGGCATATGCGGTTCACCTCATGGGCATGGGGTGCTGAGAAGTTAACTACCACTCCTGGTATGCAGGAGGCCATGGGTTCGATAACAACCCTGACTCCTGTATATTTGGAGTTTGCATGTTCTCTCTGGTCGTGTGGATATTTCTCCAGGTCCTCCGGTTCTTCCCTCCACATTTCGAGACATGGGTTTAGAGTATTTGGCGGCTATAAATTTCCACATGACAAACCACTTTGTTGAGCTATCATTTGTGGCAGCCAGATCGCTTCTGAAAAAGAGCTATATAGCTCAGTGGGCCTTACCTGGTAATTTTTTTAAATTTAGTTTAATAACTTATATGAACGATAACAAAAACAATAATTTTACAGCCTTTTGTCAATTCCACCTGAATGAAGGCCTCCGCACACCGTGTCAGCCCCAGGGGTTGTTTGACGGGACTTCAGCATGCTGGGCAGTGCCGGTTGGTGATGGGAGGGTGGCCAGGACCCGTGCAGATATCACTCTGATGTCAGCCACCGATTTAAGCAGCGGGCCGGCATCAGCCCTCCTGTATGCTGGGTTCACGGTGACGCACGATCCACTACAGCACAACTGCTTCCCCCCTCACATTATAGCACGAAGTATTATTCTGCTGTTTAACTGAACGTATACAAAGAATAACAGACCAATTAGAAATAACAAGGGGATTTGTTTACTGTGGCAGAGCGAAAGGAGAGATCGCAATTCCAGTTGCCTGCTCTCCTATAAGTGTGCATATGCTTTAGATAGCTACGTAGCGAATGAGACCAGTATTATAGGTACATGTGAACTGCTCTGTATGTGTACGCACGCACACGTGGAGAAGCTTGGCAATAAAAATCTGATAAAAAATACAGAATTGCAGCACAGGTCTCGCACACGGTGCACTGCCAGGCATGTCCGATGCAGTTAATTGAACGATTGATGGTTTCTTGTACAATTTACATTAAAGGTATCAGCACACAGCATGAACCACTGCAAGGATGAACAACTGCGCACGGCACCGTAAGGCAGTTAAGAAAAATGAACCATGGATGTTATTTTTTTACGATTTACAACTGGGGTAGAATACGTTTAAGCAGGAGCTCCGTCGGTCTGTCTGTAGCAGGAGGGGCACACGATAATTCTCGTAAAGGTGAT